CTGCGTACATCACGCCTGTGCATAAAAAAGGTCCTAAAAGTGAAATAAGTAACTATAGGCCTATTTCAAAGCTTTGTGTTATCGCCAAAGTCTTTGAAAAAATTGTGCATGAACAATTATATTCGGCCGTAGCTTCGTCTTTTACTCCATTTCAGCACGGTTTTCTGCGAGGGCGATCTACTGTCACTAACCTCACGCTTTTTAATGATTTCCTTACCGAAGCTATGGACAGAGGCAACCAGGTAGATGTAGTATACACCGACTACAGCAAAGCATTTGATCGTATAGATTATGATGTACTGTTACGTAAGCTCTGCAATATAGGCATTAGAGGAGACCTACTTCGGTGGCTCTCATCATATATAAACAATAGATCTCAGGCTGTGGTACTAAATAACTACATTTCAAATTGGATTACTGTGCCTAGTGGTGTACCCCAAGGCTCTTTACTTGGGCCCTTTTTATTTGTGATATACGTGAATGACATTGCCTCTTGTCTTGAGTCTTCAAACCTTCTGTGTTTCGCAGACGACATGAAAATATTTGCCACAATATCATCGTTTGAAGACATGATATCACTTCAGGCTGATCTCAGTCGACTGGAAAATTACTGCACGACAAATAAACTCGATCTTAATCCCTTGAAGTGCTCGGTAATTACTTATACTCGAAAACGTATAGCACTTAATACTTCCTATACGCTGGGTGGTCAAAACCTGCCTAGATGCACAGACACCAGAGATCTGGGCGTTCATCATGATAACAATTTATTCTTTAATATGCATATTGACACTATTGCCAAAAATGCCTCCAAGTCGCTTGGGTTTATTATGCGACTCGCTAAATGCTTCACTGAAGCTAAGACTCTTAAAATACTATACTGTACATATGTTAGAAGTCAACTGGAGTATGCGTCGCAAGTATGGAATCCCCGATATCATAAATATATTGATAGGTTAGAAAATATACAGAAACGATTTATAAAGTTCCTTTGCTTTCACCAAAGACTTCCTTATCACTCTAAAGACTATATCCTCCTTTGTAAGAAATTCCATTTATTGCCACTTATGAATCGTCGTGAGATTGCCGACTTCATGTTTGTTCATAAAATACTAAAAAATAATATCGACTGTCCGGAATTGCTATGTAAATTCAACTTTAGTGTACCTAGCAAATCTTGTAGGTACAATCCCATCATATGCATACCGTACGCGTCAACTAATTACAGGCAGAACTCGTGTGTGGTGCGTGCGAGCTCCAGCTTCAACACACTGTGCAAGAAGTGTGATATCGACTAGTTTGCAACTAGTGTGTCCTCAGCGAGGAGTTGTCTAAGCCTGGATTTTTTCAGATAAATTGAGCGGTGGTTGAATATATATTTATATTAAAAAAAAAAAAAACGTCAAGTATTTATATCTCATGTGCTGACTGTCAAATTATTTAAGCTATTGCTATAAGTGTAGACTTGTAAATAGCTATATGTTAACTATCTTGTGTCTATTATTGTTACTTTCTAGCTGTCAGTCTACCATGTAAATAAATAAAATAAATAAATAAATAAATAAATACCTGTTGACACATTCCTCCCGCCCTGGACATGGTAAAAAAGGGCGCTATAGAAATCTCGCCCAGGGCGCTATAGATGTAAAACCGTTCCAATATGTGCCGCTTGCCACTCGCCTCTATGTCACATTCATTTCAAACCCACATCTTCAATTCGAAAAAAGCTTCGTTCAAATCGTTTCTATCAATGTTATTAACGTAATGACTATGACCTAACCTTCATTTAAAAAAAACCGTCTGACTGACGCTCCAATGGGTAAAATAGCGCCATCTATTGGTTACATTTTAGAACTGAGAATTCATATATTTTTGAATTTGAACCAAATAAACTGAAAAACAGCACTTTGGCATTTTGGAACATACTCAAAAACATAGAAAAAACGATTAAGCTGTAAAGAAAAAATTTCAGCTAGTGAGGTTTGAACAAGACATAATTTTTTTCAGTAATTTAGAATTTCAGTTTTTTATGTCCACTGTATGTGTTTTGTGCCTATGGCATTTTGGGGAAGATGACCAATGGAATGACATCTCACTCGTCAAATCGGTTTATGTGATAGGCTCTAGGCCGCCACAACGGCATTTACATATATAAACCCACTTATATAAAAAACTTACATTGAAAAATGACGACTAACTTCTTGGTTCAAAAGTAGGATTTTTTTTATTAAGAATATAGAAAATGTATTTGCCATGAACATTTCGTAAGAAATATTAGTATAGTCAGAGGTTGGTTAGCTTAGCAAAATCGCTTGGTTAAAAATCAAATAAACTTTTTTTTTTTCAGTATGCGCAGTATGATGGTTAAAAACTACATATTTTCAAGAAGGTGAAATATGTATTTTGTTAGCATAAACTAAAATTCTGCTAGTAGTCAACATGTATGAAGGTCAAGTAATCTTAGTCTTG